AAAATTCACGTTCTAGATTTTTTTCCTAATTTTGTTGACCTGTTTTAAATTTCATAATAGTAATAAAAATAAATTATAAATCCAACTGATTATTTTAAAATTATGTCGGCATGTATTAAAATTAAAAATTAAGTGGCAAAAATATAGTAAATAAAATGAGACGTGTGAGACTAAATTTTAGCAGGATGTGCGGCGATTATATATAGATAGATGCAATGGAAAAAGATTAAAGATGCACCAGCCGGTTTTGGCCTCCACCAGTTTTTAAGTTCCCAAGATTGTGATGTGGCGTCATCCACATATAGCACTACTCGATTTTTTTCATCTGACCAATACTAATAATAATGAACAAATAAAAGGTCAAATCTAGCAGTCCCTATTGTTTGACCCATGAAACTCATTCTATTCGGACATGGGGACATGTCATTTGGTGCTCCTCACGTTTTCAATTTTTCCCCCGATCACCAAAAAAAGTAGATAAATATTATGTCAAACACATGTACACTACACTTTGGAGACATGGTATGCCGATTACTGTAACAAAATCAACAAGCACAACTAGTGATTAATTGTTGCACCCAAAATGAAAATGAGGTGGTTTTCCTTGAGTATATTCTTCCTGATATGTTTTCATATCACATCCACAGTCTCCATAGTGAGACAGCTGCCTCTTTCCTCGCCGGCTGACCTGTCGCCCTTTTATTACCTGAAAACATGCCCCAATCTCGAAACCATCATCCAACAAAAAGTGCGGGCTTGGCTCAAAAGAGATTACACGTTGGCTCCTGCCATCATCCGCCTCCACTTCCACGATTGTGCCGTCAGGGTATTGAAATTCTTCTTCATCTCATTCGTTACGTCATCAAAAATCGAAACATGTCGCCCATTTTCCATCTTTTTAATTTTTTCCTTCTTTTTTTTTTCCCGCAGGGTTGCGACGCCTCGGTTCTGTTAAACCACCCGGGCAGCGAGCGCTCGGCCGAGGCAAGCGCCACTCTCCGCGGCTTCCAGCTCATCGAACCTCTTCGAGAAGGAGCTCGGGCTCTCGTTCGTCGACCTCGTCGTCTTATCTGGGGCCCACACGATCGGGCGCACGAGCTGCCGCGCCATCGACAGGAGGTTGTTCGGGAGAAATAACGGCGGCGCGCGCCCGCCCATGGATGTTGCTTATCGGCGTGTTTTGAAGGGGAAGTGTCGTGGGTATATTGGGAAGTTTGTGGATTTGGACGGGACGACGCCGAGGAAGTTCGACGTGGCTTATTATGGGAATCTTGGGAGGGGAAAGGGGGTTTTGGAGACGGACCAGTTGCTTTATTCGGATGGGAGGACGGCGGGGATGGTGGGGTTGATGGCAGGGCAGCCGGAGTTCTTCATGGGGCAGTTTGCGGTGTCGATGACGAAGCTGGGGAATGTGAATGTGGTGACGAGGAGGACGGGGAAAGGGGAGGTGAGGCTCAACTGCAATTACGTTAATAAGTGAGTGAGGAGTCTTTGCCGCCTGAGATATACATTTATTTTCCGGGTTCCGGCGTGCGTGCCGGACAACCTTTTTAGTTTTTATTAAGTTATTGGTTTGTGGTTCATTGCTTTGTCCAAATTTGTGCTGGATGATCTGGAGCCCTAAACGAATCTGGATTTTATATTTTTATTTCATTATTATACGGATGGCGCAGCGTCAGGTCGGTAGAAAATCTATGGGTCGGTTCGATTAAGTTATCAGTTAACCAAATATGTGTCAAAAGATTCGAAACCAAAACCCATAAAGTGAAATACCAAAATCAATTAAGTGAACTTTCACCAAATCTGAAAACCGCAGCCCTAATGAAGCACGATGTCAACAATTTGGAACCTACGACCGTGCATCTCATATCAAAGATATGTCAATCAACAAAAAAATAAAAAAAAAATGAATAAAACAATCACCAAGTAAAAGAAGAAAGAGAGCAAGTGATAGACAATTGAGAGCTTGAATTAGTTCAGTTGAAATTCACCAAATCGGTTCAATCGAAACAGGGCCTTGTTGAATTGGTTGAACTGAAACATGACCCTAAGTCGAGGAGCAACCCTTACGAGGGATTTGGGTGGCGAACTCATTTACGGAGTTCCACTGTTTTGAGAAGACTAGTAAAGTGTACGTGCGATGCACGTGGTGTCGAAAGTTTTTGACCGATTAAATTTAGTAAGATAAATTAATTAATTTATTAAAACATATGATTGCAGGAACAAAATAAATTTTAGAACAAATAAACTCATAATGTATTTTTTTTAGATAACATAATGATGTTGTAACATAAAAATATTTAAATAACATTTACAACTTTAACAAAAATATATGAAAATGAGTCCCTAATAAAAAAACACTAAATAACTAAATAAGTACCTAATGTAAATTATATATGGATGCATGAATTCTTTTATTTATTTGTGTTATTCAAGAGTATTTTTTGTTTCATTTTGGTTTTGACGTTCTCATAACAAACATTCATACTCGTTGTCGCCCAATACATCAATAATATTGCAAAATTATTCTTAAGTAATTTGACAAAATGTCTGCTTTAAATATAGTCAAATTTCATGATTATATGACCATTATAAGGTTTTTCTATTAACAGTTCATAAATATATCTGTGAAATAAGTGTTATTAAAACTCTTTATATTTATTTTAATTATTGTATAAACTACTACGTTACGCTCTCTCTCCATGTAAACAATTTGGTACCTACCCCATGAAAGTTTACTTTCCAAAATCATGTACTTCTCTTGAGAGGCTAAATTATTTTTTGAAATCATCACACATTACACAATTGAGATTGTAAATATTCCTATAAAAATGTGACAATTTATTCAAACATTTAAAAAAATGTTTTGATCAGAATTAAACATTTTCTCTTCAATGTTATTTATTTGGAAGATAGACAAACTACATAATCTATTTTTTGCAAATCATTAAGCATTTTAGTTGTTGCAATGATTTTATAGTTGTGTATCATAATACATTTTACATTTATTCGGAGTTGCTATGTTTATGTGTCTAATAACATATTTAATGCATTTATTGTCCAACTTTTTTACATCATATATAATGCTTCAGTAATTCAAGATAAAGGTCCTTTCTTGAGTCTTCAACAATAACAAAACAAAACAATTTCTTACAGTGAAGATATATTTAAATTCTAGCAACAAAAAAAAAAAAAATAGTAATTTTAAAAGATTTTTATTTCTTGATATTGGTATTCATACTTCTATAAGAAAATTCAAACATTTTCTTTATTTGTTTTTTTCTTATTTTATTCATATATAATATTTTATTTATTGAAAGAATTAGAGCACATATACGTGCATTGTGTTGTTTTTACGTGTTTGATAGTAATATATTTGATAAAAATGTACTTTTATATTGTTTATAAGATTAAAAAGTTTTGGATTTTTTTCTATTGTTCGATAAAATATCAAGTAACTAACTTATTTTCATATTCACAACGAATATATTTTACAATTATTATGGTGTTCCATTTCAAGTAGTAATTGAATAATAGCTTAACATACAACTCATTTATTTTTTCTTTTAATTCACATAGTTAATTTTGGTAGTAATTGTACGTTTACATTCATTTATAAATGTGCATCTTAAGTAGGTTTTATATTTATCATTCGTCAACCCCAATTGCTATAGGACATAAATTAAAGTTTATTATTTTTTTTTTTTTACTTGTTGATGGAATGTGAGCTTCAAGTTTTCTCATTGTGTAGTCTTACAATTTTATTATGTAAAACATCATTTTTACCCATCGTTTAATTATTATAATACTAATAAAATATTTAAGACTTTTCAATCAAGGTTTATATTATTTGTTTAAAAAAAATACTAATTATTATAAATTAAATGATAATTACATTAAATATGTTATATTTTGTATCATTATCCACAATTTTCAAAATAATTAACTGCACACAATATTATATATAATGTAAATTTTTTAGTTTGATTTAGAGTCATACTTTTACTACAAGAAAATGACGAAATACAAATGAAAACATGTTACGGCCGAATTTCAACGACAATTCTAACGAATATTTGTTACTACTCCCATTTGAATTTTTCTATGAAAATTCTAACAAAAATATATGTTTGAAATCATAGACAAATCCATCTAATAGTCCCAACACAGGCCTCATCCCAAAACATACAGCATAACTTATCTAACAAAAATTATGGGAACATTTTTCATAACCTTAATCATGCCCCTATTTAGAAAATAAAATTAAAAGAAAGAAAGATACTTAATGAATTAATTCACAACTCAACCAATTAGAATTTAATTCAGCTCATAGATTTAAAGTTATAACATAAAACGCGGTATCATAATTAAATAAAATAAGATAGTTATAAAATTTACAATTTTACGTTCTAATTCTCTCTTTTCTTTTTAGTCTTAGACTTTATTTTTCTTCTTCCCCTCCCATGAACAGGATAAGGTCGTCCGCGAAAAGAAGATGAGAGAGTCCCACCCAACGAACGGAGGAGTTAGAATCTCTTTCCTCTTGTTCATTCACTCCTCGGTACAGCCTTCTTAATTCGAGGGCTGGGTCTAACGCTAGGTATTCTACTCGGGCAGTGAATGAAAAAGCTTTTAGTACATTGCTTTTCGTATCATCTATGATAATTCTCGTTTCAGAAACTCCTCAATATAACTTATATTCTATCATTCGCGACATAATTTTTATCGAACTTTATAATATATATTTTTATGTATTTTTTAACTATATGTAGAATTCTAGTTATATATTCATAATTTATACTGGATTTACTATTTTTTTATTTATATTGTATTTTCATCTGCTATATATAATTATAATTTTCTCATTAATATTATACTCAAATATTAGAAAAAAGTATTATGTACATTTTTTAATAAAAAATTAATTTATTATAATAATACAAACTAATAGATAGATGAGTAATGGTAATACATCGATATAATTTCTTAATAAAAATAAATAAATTTTCAACGTATATAGGCATATCATGATTCTCTAGATATTTTTAATTAATTTGGAGATAATGATGGATAAAAGTACAAAAAACTATCGTCTATCACCTAAAACTTACACATATAATTAATAAGCATAAAAAATCAATAAGCGTTTAACAACTCACCTTGTTTACATTGATAAGTACAAGTTTAAAAGTTTTATCTTTATTTTTATTAACTATAACATTTTTTTATTACTTTTTTCATATTTATTAGTAAGTGTTGGAAATTAATTATATTTTTAGTATTATTAATCATATTTTAATATTTTTCTTTATATTGTTCTTGTATATATTTTTAATATATATATATATATAACTTTTATATTTGTTAAAAAATGCATACAAAATTAAGTACAGAAAGATTTGGGTCATATTATATATCAATTAATTGTGCATCTTTATATTATATTAAATATAAGTACAATATTTTTATTAATATTATACTCAAATATAAATGCTCTTATTCTGTACATTTTTTTGATAAAACATTGCTTTATTAGAATAATACATATTATTAAATGGATGAGTAGTGGTAATATATCGATATAATTTATTGGTAAAAGTTAATCAATTTTCAACGTATATAAGCATATCATGATTCTCTAGATATTTTAATTAATTTATAGATAATAATATGACCAAAATTATATCATGCTTCTCAACCGGTATCCCTTCGACATGAAAATAAATAGTGTGGGTTTTAGTCTTATACAATTTCATAAAATTGGTTTAATTTTATTTTAAACGAAGTAATTGAGTAGATTAGAAGTTTATGTTGCAAAACAATCATTCAACAATTAATTTCTCATACTATTATACAATTTATTATTTTTTTTATAGGTTATTTTGTATAGATGTCTAAATATTTGTTTGATTTAGTATAGTTTTTATTGTTTTGTATAACTAAAGTCATACATTTTATAGTATGTGTTATAAAAATGTTTTTATATTGTTCCTGAATATTTACGGAAATCTCATTCGTTGTAGTAAAATTTTATTTTTTAGTTTTTCTATTTATTTGATATTAATTATGATATTTTCAGTTTATCATTTTTTCTTCTTCATTCATATATAAATAACGTTTTGAGCTTAATTTTCTATGGTCTTATCTGATGGGGATAGGAAATAGACAAATTTTTATGGTTTTTTATGGTCTTATCTGATGGGATTTACTATTTTTTTAATTTATATTGTTCTTTCATCTACTATATATAATTAAAATTTTCTTATTAATATTATACTCAAATATTAAAAAAAAAGTATTATGTACATTTTTTTTAATAAAAAATTAATTTATTATAATAATACAAACTAATAGATAGATGAGTAATGGTAATACATCGATATAATTTCTTAATAAAAATTAATAAATTTTTAACGTATATCGGCATATCATGATTCTCTTGATATTTTTAATTAATTTGAAGATAATGATGGATAAAAGTACAAAAAACTATCGTCTATCACCTAAAACTTACACATATAATTAATAAGCATAAAAAATTAATAAACATTTAACAACTCACCTTGTTTACATTGATAAGTACAAGTTTAAAAGTTTTATCTTTATTTTTATTAACTATAATATTTTTTTATTACTTTTTTCATATTTATTAGTAAGTGCTGGAACTTAATTATATTTTTAGTATTATTAATCATGTTTTAATATTTCTTCTTTATATTGTTCTTGTATATATTTTTAATATATATATATATA